GCCCCCCCCCCCCAATTATATGTTTCAGGCTTCAAAATCTGAATCTACCTCTGCTGATCTGGTCTTCCCAATTCTCAGAGCTTCGTGGGAGGAAACAATAAAGGTTATTCAAAAGAAAAAGATAAAGATACAAATTAGTATAAAATATTGTGACTGTTAAGGTAAGAAAGGATATAACACTATAGACTACATTGGGGGTGCTCCAAACCCAGTCTAAGAGGTAGGTCGAAGATGGCCTCTAGGAAGAAGGCATGTTGAGGCTCAGGCTCGAATTAAGTGAAAGCTAGCCAGGCAGAGAAGGGAAGGAGCGTTCCAGCAAAGAAAACAATTTTCATGAAGACTCAGAGTCAAGTGGGAAGGTTTTATCACAGCCCAGCCACTGAATTGCTGAAATTCAGAGGAAGTAGAGATAAATGGTGCTGGGGAGAGAATCAGGGGTCAGGTTCTCTATGGCTTTTTCAACAATTTAAAAATCCTAAACTTTGCCCTACAGGATAAAAGAAACTATGTGCATGGAAATAAGACAGGTTGTGTAAAATCCTTTGGGCTGGTGGTGGGAAGCTGCAATTGATAATAAAAAGATGCAGAACTCTGTAATATAGTATGTAGTAATGGTTTGCACCAGGGCGATGATGTTGGGATGGAGAGTGGAGAAAGTCAAGTGATATTTAAGAGGTAGAACTGACTAAACTTGATGATTTAAAATGAGAGAGAGAGATAACTCAAGGGTGACTGCCAGGGTTTGATTTGAACAGCTGATTGTACAGAGGTACTATTTGTTGTTGGTTTTTCAAACATAAATGAGAAGCAAGATTACAAGTCTAGACCTGATTAGGGGAAAAGGTAAGGGAGGGGGGGAATAAAGAGTTCAGATTTGAAAATTTTAAGTTTGACATTACTATTAGATGCCCAAGTAGGGGCGTTCATTGAGGCACTTGATAAACATGTCAGGGTTTTAGGGGGGAAATCCACATAGGAGACATAAATTTGAGAGTGGTCAACGCATATCTGGCATTTAAAACTGTAATCACTCCTTCATGAGACCACTTTGGAATTAATAATTTACAAAAAGAGGTCAAGGATTGATTGGTTTGTGGTATACACCTACATTTATAGCCAGGGAGATAGACAACTAGCAGAAAAACTGAGGAAAACTGTAAATTTGGTGTTCCAGAAGCCAAGTCAAGAAAGATTTCCAGAAAGAGTGATCAACGTTTTTCACATGCTGAATTTAGAGATGTGTAAGTAATCGGTAACTGCAACAAGGGCTATCTCAGTGGAGTGCACAGTAAGAAAACCTTACTGGAGTGAGTGTGATCAATAGAGACGATTGAAATTAAGAAACTGGAGATGGAAAGTGTAGAGCCTTGTTTATTGAAAGAAAGGCACTAAAGAGAAGCATTGGCATCACCTAGGAGTTTCTTATTTCAGACCCCACCCCAAATCCTCTGTGGCAGGCAGTCTCCAAGAAGGAACCCCCAATGCCTCCCGCTTTCTGGTAATGCCTCTTTGTGTAACTCCCTCCTTTTGAACAGAAGACAAAAATGATGAGGAACTACTTTTGAGATTAGGTTACACAAAAACTCTGGCTCTGTTTTGCTTACCCTCCCCCATGCCTACCCTCTCTCTGTGTCTTGGAGCAAGGNATGAGGAACTACTTTTGAGATTAGGTTACACAAAAACTCTGGCTCTGTTTTGCTTACCCTCCCCCATGCCTACCCTCTCTCTGTCTTGGAGCAAGCAGCTAGGTTGTGAGCTGCCCTGTGGAGAGACTCACATAGCAAAGGACTGATGTCTTCGGCCAAGAGCAAGCAAAGGCAGGAGGCCTGCCAGCAGCCAAGGAGGAAGCTTGGAAGCAGATTCCTCCCCAAGTCCACCTGAAGATGACCACAGTCCAGGCCCGCACCTTGACTGCAGCTGTGGGAAAGATCCTGAGCCAGAGGCACCCAGCATGGCTGTGTCCAAATAAATGTTCGTTGGTTTAAGCCACTAAGTTGGTTTTTTTTGGTTTGTTTTTAATTTGAAAGATCAGCTTTATTGAGGTATAACTGACATACAATAATTTGCCCAAAATTAAAGTGTACAAGCTGATAAATTTTGACAGGTCTACATCCATGAAACCATCACCATAATAAAGACAGCTTCCTCATAGCCCTCTCTAATCCCTCCTTCTGAATCCAGCACCTACCCAGACCCCCAGCAACCACTGCTCTGCCTTTTGTTGCCATAAATAGGTTTTCATTTTCTACAGTTCTGTACAAATAGGATTGGTAAGTTTTAAGGTAACTTGTTAAAGCAGCAAGCATATACGTTCTGAATTAAAATTAAAATTTTAACAAGAGTTGCATATGATATGTATTCTTTTGAGAAGGGCTGAAATTCACAATTGCACTGAGATGTCCTGCTGTAGCTTATGAAAGGTGTATGATTGAGAAACTTTATTTAAAAGGGATATACTTGTAAAAATCACAGCATGCTTGTACGCCAAAGAGAAAGATCCAGTAAGTAGGGGGAAACCCCTCACAATGATGGTGAGGGAACACAACTGATGTTACATGATAAGAATTTATTTATCAGTTGGTATTTTTCATATTTAATCTAGAAAACACATCCTATTTTATGAAGTAAAGGGCATTTTAGATGTTTAAATGCTAAATTTATATTTATGCAATCCTAAAATAACAAATACTATAGTACAGCTATTAGAATTGACAATTTAAATACTTAAAATGTAATTCATTTATATTTTTCATTTAATGAATATAATCTTAAAATTAACTACAACAGATGTATAAAGGCTTTCGTGCTCTTCACAATGATAATTCATTTTATTTAATTTACTTTCCCTCTTGTGAATTAATCAATTAATAAGCGCTTATAGCATCTACTATGTGAAGAAAAATCTGCTTGGTGCTGTGAGAGACAAAAACAAAACAAAATAAAACTTGGTCTCAGTAACACATCTGTCTTTTCTAATTAAGTGTCTATTTGAGCAGTCCTGATGATCAGTGAGCATATAGGAGTTAAGGGAAAACTTTTCTCTTAAGAGAATAAAGGTAAAAATAAGAGTGAGCTTGGCCTTTAAAATTTTGCAAGTGGCTGGCAGGAGATGTTTTAGGTAAGGTGAAATGTGTCAAAGTTTGACTATGACGTGCTGAAGGAATGGAGAGAAAACCAGATTAATTGATAGGCGATAGAACAGAGGG